CACACTTAAGATGGCTGTACCTACTAGGCTGCCACCTTTGTATCTAGACCATTTGAAATGTTCTAAATCAGAAGGAAGAGAAAGGTGAGCAAACCAAATGTGTAATTCAGATATTCTGACAACTAGATAGGACAAAGCAAATTCAACTTTTTTAAAATGAGCCAACTGGTTTTACACCTTGCAACAAGAAATAAAAAATATTAAGGACCAATATCTCAAATTGATCCCTTTAAACTGTTTGAAAAGGAAGATTTGCAATCAGCACAATCAAGAGTCTGTATAAATGACAGTAGTAATTTGAAAGACACTGTCCAAGTATTTCTGCCTTTTCTCCCCAAAGCCAGACATACCTGCGTTAGTACAGCAACGAGCCATTTTCATTACAGGGAAAGGGTTCTTTGCTTCAGCAAAACTACTACCAGTTCCACTGAATGAAAAACTGCTAACACAAGAAGGGAGAATGAATTCATGCTGGTTGGTGCAGTTTCTTTTTGTCTTTCACAAACTGTCGAGATGAACTCATGTGAATGACCTCCCAGTACAGGACTGTGACCATGCTGGAAATGGGCTGTGTTCCCTACTCCCCTTTTAGAAAATGGTTTTGTTCATGTTCTTTCTTTACTAGCTTGGTTGCTCTGTTCCCTTTTTCCTACGTACCTTCCTTTCCTTCACACCTCAAAAACGTACCTGATACAAATCTTCCTATCTCAGTAAGATTTTGACACACAGAAAGGCAAAGGTGTGGAACAAAAGGATCACAGAGCTGATGCTAGCACTGCCAGCTAGCAGAACAGCCCCATTTAGACAACCGCACTAGTCTGGACGACAACTATTGGCTTCCAAGGCTATCTGGACTAACAAGAAATCCTTGCCCAAGTTCAAAAGACCTACTGAATTCCCAATCCTGCTTAAATCCAGCATTCTAAGTAATGACCAGTTTATGATATCACCTTCACAAATAAGAATGATAAAAAGGCAAACCAATTAAGGCAAGCCCTTTGCTGCCAGAAATTCCTGATCCTTCAGTATGGTGACATAAGTAACAGATAAAATTAAATTAAATTAATCTCTGGTTGACAGAGTCCCTTAGGAGGCACTCCTGGAAGGGCAAAAGGGTCCAGGAAAGCTGGGCACTCTTCAAGAAGGAAATCTTAAAGGTGCAGAAGCAGGATGTCCCCATATGCCAAAACATGAACCAGCATGGAAGACTGGCCTGGCTGAAGTCTGTTTGATTTCTGAAACTCAGGAAAAAAAGCCAAGAGTTTATGACCTTTGGAAGAAGGGGCAGGCAACTCAGGAGGACTACAAAGATGTCATGAGGTTACACAGGGGGAAAATTAGGCCCAAAGCCCAGCTAGAACTTAATCTGGTGACTGCATTAAAGGACAATCCAAAATGTTTCTATGAATACATTAGCAACAAAAGGAGGGCTAAGGAGAATCTCCATCCTTTACTGAATGTTGGGGGAACATAGTGACAAAGGATGAGGGAAAGACTGAGGTGCTTACTGCCCTCTAACAGGGCCTGAGCCTCTAACAGTAAGACCAGTTGTTCTCTGGCTACCCAGCCCCCCCGATCTGGAAGACAGGGCACGGACTGAAGCTCCCATAATTCAAGAGGAAATGGTCAGCGACCTGCTACATACAACACTTAGACACAAACAAGTCCATGGGGCCAAGGGGATCCACCCAGGGGTACGGAGGGAGCTTGCGGAAGGGCTCACTGAGCCACTTTCAGTCATCTCTCAGCTGTCCTGGCTAACTGGGGAGGTCCCCATTGACTGGAAGTGAGCAAACGTGACTCCCATCTACAAGAAGGGCTGGAAGGAGGATCCTGGGAACTACAGGCCTGTAAGCCTGACCTCAGCGCTGGGGAAGGTTATGGAGCAGATTGTCTTGAGTGCCATCATGCAGCATACCTACATAGCGCGATCAGGCCCAGTCAACATGGGCTTGTGAAAGGCAGGTCCTGCTTGACTAACCTGATCTTCTTCTATGACAAGGTGACCCCTTTAGTGGATGAGGGAAGGGCTGTGGCTGTTGACTACGTAGCCTTTTTTAGGAGAGCCTTTGACATCATTTCCCACTGCATTCTCCTGGAGAAACTGGCTGCTCATGGTTTGGATGGGTGTACTGTTTGCTGGATAAAAAACTGGCTGCAGACAGTTTGCAAACACCAAGTTGGGCAGAAGTATTGATCTGCTTGAAGGTAGGAAGGCTCCACAGAGGGATCTGGACAGGCTGGAGTGATGGGCCAAGGCCAACTGCATGAGGTTCAACAAGGCTCAGTGCCAGGTCCTGCACTTGGGTCACAGAGAAGGGCAACAAAACTGGTGGAGGGTCTGGAGAATGTCTTACGAGGAGCAGCTGAGGAAACTGGGGTGGTTTAGTCTGGAGAAGAGAAGGCTCAGGGGAGAACTTATGGCTCCCTACAGCTACCTGAAAGGAGGCTACAGCAAGGTGGGTGTTGGTGTCTTCTCCCAAGTAACAAGTGATAGGACAGGAGGAGATGGCCTGAAATTGTGCAGGGCAGGTTTAGATTGAGTATTAGGAAAAGTTTCTTCACCAAAAGGGTTGTTAAGCATTGGAATAGACTGCCCAGGAAAGTGGTGGAGTCACTGCTCCTGAATATATTTAAAAGATGCGCAGATGCGGACTTAGGGATGTGGTTTAGTGGTGGACTTGACAGCGTTAGGTTAATGTTTGGACTCGACCATCCTAAAAGTCTTTCCCAACCTAAGTAATTCTATGAGTCTATAAATGAGGGAATGCTGAAATCTCCAGCAAGGACACAAACACATAGCTCTCAATTTGCTTTAGCAAGTCCCTGTATCCTGGCTTTTAATTTCCAGTCCTTTGTTTTTTTTTTCTCACATTCTTCTCATCCTCCTTCATCAGAAATACCAAATGTTGACATTAGCTGTGTATCTCTGCTCTAAAGGAGCAGAACACCTAGTGAAAGGAAGATGTGACTGTCACTATTCCACCAGCACACACAGCACCAGTACATAATTCAAAATATCTCAGTAAGCCAGTGGTTTTCAGCTGTTTCTGTATGATTACTCACTATTACACAAGAGACAGTTCCTGTCTTCTTGCATTCCTTCTGCTCACCTATGAAGTGATCTGTTAACCCACTGGTTGAACATCCATAATAGGTAGATCTAAAACTTTATGGACCCAATCAAACATTATATGAGTCTTTTGATGGATATGAACTTTGGTTTTGGTACAAGACACAGTGCTAACTGGATATACCACTGAAATTGTGCAACTGCAGGGATTCAGTGGTTTAAATCCTAACCACACTGAAATCAGTGGCAAACCACTGTTCAATGGCCATGACCTATCTACCATTAATTCATTAAAGTCAAGAAATCACCACTACTTTAGAGCAGATGTTAATATCCCGTTTCTGACACTGCGATTTCTGCTTGCCATGCTTGCTTATCAGAAGATGCTCCTGTGTATTTTTGTCAGCATGAAGAAACTGCCAGGGACTAGAGGACCTTGGCAGCATCTGATGAGTTTGTTAATAAAGCAGATTGCGCTCAGTATTAGAAGGAAACAATCCCCCCACACCGCATGAAAGGTGGGAATGGGCTACCCTTAACCAGGACTCCTAAGCAACAGCGATCTGCTAACACAAGTTAAAACAGACTAGTGCTCATCTTCCCTTTTTTTCATCCTGTGATCTCTCAGTGGTTGTGCAGACCATTCAAACAGTCCACCATTAGATGTCAACAAGGGTTAGGCTGGCTGCTGAACTGCAACAAAACAGCAAAATAACTTTTTTCCCCACCCGTCTTTCCATGACACACTGCAAATGCCTACTAGGTAGAATAAGGACATAAATTAACTTTTTTTTTGGACTAATATAGAAGTTGCAGAGATAAAATTAGGAAAGAAAACCCTCTTTGGTCTCATAGTACAATGGACGAAAAGCAAACAGGTTTCCTGAACTTTTTATGATTTCCAATGAATAATCAAATACATTCAAACACTCTTACATAAATATGTCTTTCTCAAATGCAATAATTTTTAATTTTTGGTACAAGAGACTGGGATTCCAATCTACCTATATACAAACAGCACAGAATTACAAAAAGAAAGTTTATCTAAGACAAATTTCTTAATTTTTATTAAATTCAAAACTGCAGGAAAAAAATCACAAGTTTCTAAGTACAAATAAAAACAAATCGGCTAAAATAAAATAGTTGTCAAATTAAAACTCATTTCCATAATTTTCCTCTCCTTGCTATTGCCCACAGTACCATCAGAAATCCTATAAGCACTTTAGAAATTGATTTCATCTTATCAATATGATAGTAAACCGAAAGTTTACTATGTAAAAAAGCAAACCTTTAGGCACAAGGTGGCAGAAGACATAAGCACAAATATCAACCACGCTTCCTTACATTGTGAGTTGAAATCCAGGCGTGCTAAGGACCTGCATGGTATTGTATTCAAAACGTCAGAGCTTATTCAGTGAAATAAAGGCTCATCTTTTTATTTATTTATTAAAATGTTAACAGTTTGCTGTGTCTTTTTTCCTTCTAGAAAACAGAGAGAAGCTGTTTAAGTCAGTGGTATACTTTACTGGTCAATGCCAGTGTTCTGGCTAAAAGAAAGGCAAAAGTGACAAAATGGGTTCCAGCACCAGAGAATGAGAAGCAGAGAAGCTGTAGTGTGAAAAAGACTGGTTCATACTTGTGTTGCCAGTGTAATTAATAGTTTGGTGACCACCTGCTAAGATAGCATGACAAGCAGGCACATGCTATTTGAAGGTATCAGCTGGGCTAGGTCATCAGCTGCTCTCCCAACAGAGCAGTGATCAAGGTGAACAACTGACATCTGCTGCTTTTCTAACTACACCTAAAGGAACTGTCAAACAGAAAATTAAATCTTAACAAAATTAAAACAAGCGTTGTTCCATAGTCCAGATTCTACCTTTTACCCTTCATATGATACTTGCCATTCTAATAACAGGTGCAGTTCCACTGTCATTCATAAATACAAAATTTTATTTGCACTTCATTAGTTTAGAAAGACCACAATGTTTTTCAATACCACAACATTCAGGACACACCAAGTTATTCAAATATGTAACTATTGATTTACCACAGCTAAACTAAACAGTGCATTTTAATAAAAGATATACCAAAGATATAATTCACAAATTCATTATCAGACCAAAACCTAACACAGTATTTGCTTGATGGGAATAATTTCCATCATCAGGAAAGAAAATAATTTTACCTTAGATTCCCTTCCCCCAAACCCTACAGATGTCCAGACAAATACACATATATATTCCTTACCACAGGAAAAGGTATCATCTTTTTTTTTTTTCTTTTAAGAATTTGTCTAGGACAGCAGCATTGCTTTTTATACCTTCTTTTAGAACTTGAATATATCTCCATTCTTTATTGAAACTTAATGATTCTTGCAACCAAGTTTATGCTTATGCAGAAAATTATATATGCTATCTTAGAGTGCAATCTTAGATCTGCACCAGATGTGATGTCTTGGTACACAAAGAAAGGGTGCAGCATTAAACAAAATAAATAAAAGACTGCCAAAAAATTAAACTTAGCTTTTCAATAAATCCAGTCAGCAGAGGATGCTACAGCCAAAAGTGTTTTCACTACATTAAAAGGAAACATAATGCTGATTATGGAAGCTTTGTACATAAAGTCCTCTGTTTTTAAAAAATTTGTCTTTAAAATAGTTAGCAAAGCACCATATACTTATCTTCATACCAGAAGAGCTTCTGCCTGCCTGTTTATAATAACAAAGAACTATTACAACATTTATGTCAAGAATAGGTATAGATTTAATTTCTCCTCCTCCTCGACCGGAAGTGTGGTAAACCCCCCACCGACTGTACAGTATTTATAACATTGGGGCAATGAATGAAACATCATTGTGAGGGAGAGGGGTAATAATTAAATGTTATAGCTGAATCCTATATAGGATTACATATTTGCATATTTACAAGTTAGTGTGTAGCTCTGACTCGAATAACAAAGTGCAACGAGAAACTGCCAAATGATTGTAGTGCAGAGTAGTACAGATACTTTCTTTACCCTCCTGCTCCTATTTTTCACTCTGTATGGAGTAACAAGTCAACAGCAACGGACATGTGGCCTTGGAGGAGGCAGTTCTGGTGGGATTTCTGGCTCTGGTTGCAGGGACAGGATACTGTTGGACAACTCATTTCTTATAACATCCAGTGGCATCTTAAAGAAAAGAAAAATCATCTGTGAACAGCCATCGCATAGAACTCGGCAAAAAGAACTCGTTTCAAGAGTTCATTGTCAGCCAAAGCCTTAATTCAAGGATCTTTTGGCTTGCATAAGTGACCTACATTTGAGTAAGTTGTGTTAAGAATTTCTTTCCGAAAAAAGTTACAAGACATTGGTGCAAATAAAGCCACTTCCTAAACTAATTACAACAAATCACAACAGAACTGCCCACAAATGAAAGCAGGCAAATGTATAGTCAGATGCTGATATACATTGAAGTTATAGCAAAGAGGAAGTTTAACAAATAAGAGCAGATGTTTACCAAATTCAAAAGCAGTATTTATTAACAAAAGTGTTCAGCAGAGTCTGTGAACTACATCATGCCCACTGTGCATTAACCAAAAGTTTCACCTGACTGTGTGCTCACTCTCTATGTCCTCCCAACAAGTACCAGCAGTCACTATTTAAACACTGACCATTTCTGTGGTCAGAGGTGCTACCACCTGAATATTTTACCTTTTTCAGAATGTCATCAACAAGTTTTAGAAATATTTCATCCACATTAAAATTATCCTTGGCACTTGCTTCACAGAACCGCATCCCAGTTATTTGCTGTGCAAACTGATGGAAAAGAAAATAACTACATGAAGATATGCACAAACAGCAACAAAGAGCAAAACAAACACTCCTTATAAAACCTTTAAAGAAAACAAAGCCCACAACTTTCCTCAAATCTGTGACTAAAGTCTAATTCAATTAACAATTCTTAATTTCTAAGGTACAGCAAATATTGCCACATACAGATAATTTTCACTTAAAGTCTGTTTACTGGAAAAGTGTGCTACATTTTTCCAGACTTAAATCTGAGAAACTCATGTCTTCAGTCGACATGATTGCTGCAGATTCCCAAGAAGTAGGCACTTTTCACAAGAGCTAATCTTCTTATTAAAATTCATAAAAGAGAAATACAGATGTAAGAATTAGCCTTGACTCTCTCTAAGAGATGACAGGTAGCTGAAGGAAAACATTTGTGTATGTCCATACTGATTGTGTCCTGATGAAGACAGTGCTATGAGGGTCACACTAAGACATATCCTCTTGTCGGGTTCCTTACCACTTTGGAAGTTGGAAGACAACAAAAGAAACATTAAAATAAAGGTGAGCTAAGTAATCAAGTAGGACTATTGCCTGTCTTAAGAGACTACTGAAAAGCAAACATTTGGAAGAAGGCTCACAAAGGCATGCTGAGCATTCGTGAGTCACATCTCCGTTATATCCTCTTTCAGAGCCCAAAAAAGAGTATCCCCTGCACTACTGCGTAATGCAAGCCAACTTGTAGTTTACTCTTTCTTCAGATGAAAGACATGCTGCTCCAGCAGCAACACATATAACTGCACATTCCATAGAAGTAAATACCATATGGATTTTGACAGAATGCTACCACTCTCAATATGCTTCTTAGGTTTAACAGTCTGAACAAGACTAGCCATGGATCAGCAGCAGCGGCCACTCCACAGCAGTTTTGCTTCTAATAGTAACTAAGAATTTGGTTAAACCTGTTCTTACCTTTTCTCCCTGCTGTCGACTAATCTCTCGATCAACTTCACAGTCCAGTTTATTGCCAACTAATAGAAGCTCTGCATCTTCTGAAGCATACTGCAATTAGAACATTTTTAATGAACTAAATCTAGAAATGTAAAGATTTTGTAATGTAAACACAATATGCAAAAAGGGCTATTTCTCTACTAAATAAGGAACCACACCTACACAGTTTATATGTAAACATTCTCCCCAAATGGTATTTCAAAAATTTTCACCTTCAGTTTTTAAATTCCATTTTTAAAGCAAGACTTTAGAACTAGCTGTTCTAGTTTATCTAAGAATGAACAGAACGACCTTATTTCACAGACACAAAATAAAACTCACCCACAGTGAAACAGGCAAATGAATAATGTTACAGATTTCCATTGAGACTTACAACTGGGACAATTCTAGTTCAAGGAAGTGGGAATGGACAACCATTTTGCAACATCAACACATTAATGTTAAATCCTGGCTAAAAGAATCTGGTGAAAATTAGTCAGCATTAGTTTAACAATCCTATATAAATGCTGTCAAATGTCTTACAGAGTACTTTTGAGGAAAAATATTGCTTCTTATAAAAACTACATAAAAAGAAATTACTTAAGGCCTACCTTATCAATCATTTTCATCCATTTTGGTAAATCGTCAAATGTTTCCTTCTTGGTGATATCATACACCAAAATAATTCCCTTGGCACTTCTGTAATAAGCTGAGGTAATGCTGTTGAATCTCTCCTGACCTGCTGTGTCCCTAAGAAGCAGCAGCAAACATTGGCACAAATATTTCACCAATTTGCAAAGTACAGAATAACTTTGTTTACATTTTAATAAAAACATTCCCACACTTGTTAGACACTATCTCCAACTTTTCCTTCTATATGTGTGAATTTCAGGAAAAAATAAAAACACATAATGGAGCAGTACTTTCAATCATAGAAATTTTCATATCAGAACTACTTATCCCATACTAACCTCACCAAGAAAGGCCACCAAACAGTTCTACATGTGTCTGAGAATGAAGCTGTCCCATGAAAATGCACCAGCAGATGAAGCTGGTTTTGTGTTGTTGGGTTTTGTTTGCGGGGTTTTTTTGTTTGTTTGTGGGGTTTTTTGGTTTGTTTGGGGGTTTTGTTTGTCTTGTTTTAATAGCTCTGAAAAGAAAAAGAAAAAAGAAATGGGATACATGCTTATCAAACACAGCCAGACACTCAACTATAAAATAACCAATACACTGATCACTATGATTTGAGCTTTCAGAGCCTTTTTGGACCAACCACAGCAGTTCAACCATGGTTCTAGCACTAATGCTACTGGCAGAAGTGAATGAAAAGAGTGAGCAACCACTATGTGATATGGCTTTTGAAAGTAGATACCTGGCTTTCACACCTACATCTACTAATGTAGGTGTTCAAATAACATTTCCGTTCTCATTTTCATCACTGTAGGCATTTCAGACAAAGGTGTGTTTATGCTGGAGACTATTTTCCAGCAATGACACCATGTTGCCTGTCTACTAGCTATGGCTTATGTTCCAAAGTAGATGAGACAGAAGGGTTATTTTTTACTGAACCATAAAAACCTGTGAACTGCCTACTTATGGAAGATTTTTGGCAGTTATACTAAAAAGAGTAGCCGGTGCATAACCCTAAGTCTTAAAATGTGACTGGTATCACAGCTGGAAAGTAAATTATATGGTGCTTCAAAGCAATGAAGCATTTGCTGCTTGAGTTCAGCCCCCAGAATCAATGGATAATTTTGAAATTTCACTTTCAGAGCAAGTCAAAAGATGGACCAAAATTAAGAATGGATGGGGGGGAAAAGTGTTTGTGTGTGTTGGCACTCAACAGGAACTCTCTTCAGCAGTCACATTTTAGACAAAAGGAGGAGGAGGATGAATTTAGGAATGAGATTAACAATGGAGACCTGAAACACTTGTTATCAAAAAAAAAAAAAAAAGTCATGTTCACAAAATGCCACATTGACTGTCCTGAGGAATTAATTCTTTTAGAATCTATGCATAACAAGCACTAGAATAAAGTACCACAAAGCTATCTTGATCTTCAAAAAATCTTTAAGAATTTCAACTAAGCAGGTTTAAAAGTGGAGTAGCTAACTTTCTTCTGAAATTGCCATGTTTACTTGATAGCAACAAAGTTTTGCGGGTGATTTCACGAAGTAAAGCAGTGTCCATTCAAAAAAGATTTGAAACCTCTGCTTCATAGTCTGTGGAAAAAATATTGACTAATACTTCACTGCAAGCCAATGACATCACAGCAAAGGTCAGAAGAGAACGTATCACATCCGTTTGCATTTTATTCAAATCCCATTCTCTACTCAGAACTTCAGAATTACATTCTTACAAATCTTTGGGACTCTAGAGAAGGTGAAAACAGGTAGCCTGTTTCAGTAAGCTCAAGCTCTAGTAGTATTTCAGACCAATTTTACATGGTTAATTGATTGCTTTCTTATCACTAATGAGGCATTTTTATTAAAGCAATACAAGTTCTGGCAGCTGAAATTACATATGTAAGTATTATTCAGAGCTAGTAATACTTAGTTTACTTTCTCTTCCATTACTTCTTTGTTATGGTCAGATTTAATTTTTGAAAGGTCTTTTGGATGTTCACTTCATGAAAAATTCAAAAATTCTAGTATGAACCGTTGATTTTCCACATATGGATAACATTGCTTTAGTACTTATGAACATACTACTCAGAATAAAGACCTTGTGGAGCAGCCCCTGCCATCTCTTGCTAATCCATTCTACTGATCAAGTGTATTAAGGATGGGATCCCTTTAGTTCCATTATTCTGTGCAGATATAACCAGATGGCAGGTGGAAGGGCATATCTAATCCATCCATTTCTAGCTTTGGCCAGAATGATGGGAAAAGAAAAATGTTGCTTCATTTTTTTTTTCCTTTTTTTTTTTCCTTCCCTGGCCAGTCTTCTCCCTCTTCTGTGCGCCCCTGCCAGAACACAGAACTAAAGGAGATATTTCAGAGTCACCTGGCTGTGCCTTTGGGTCACTGCTAAGGACTTACAGCAACTCCATCTCTGAGAGGCTACCAGATCACTCAGTTCATACATTAGAAAAACAAAGAGGAAATAAAAACAACAATGTTCAACTACCCTCCCTGAAGACTTCTTAAGCCTAAGGGTAGGCTACTCTTTCACTCCAGCTATCTCCAACTCCACGTTTCCCCATGCCTGCCAACTACTGTATCTCCAAGTCTACCTGGTCGACTCTCCTCACCCCACAACACCCTCAGGCTCTTTATAAGTTTATAGTATTCCCAGGCTGTTGCTCTTCTCAGCTCCTGTACCCCCAGGTACTGCACTCCCCCTTTGCGTATGCTGTTCACCTAAATATTGCACAAAACTTGTAGGCTGGCTTGCTGGCTATTTGAGACACACCACATGCCGTCACCAGTTTAGAACACTCATGGACAAACAGTCTGGCTAATTACAGTGGATTATGGCTGACTTTCTTGGCCTTACTTTAAGTTATCGATTTCCCCACACATCACGCAACCAATGCCTCTACTGATGCAGCAAGTCTAAATGAAACCAGTCAACAGGTTTCTGATTGTAAGTATGATAATCCTTTCCTTTGAAAAGTGGATGAAAGTAAGACGAATTTGTGGTCTCTAACATTACATTAATATTGTACTAGCTTTCAAACAGCAAGGTGAAAATTGGAAAACTATTTCTGCAATAATTTTAGCATGCAACCCCAAGCTACCTAAATAAGTTGCCGTTTAAGAAGAGTATCGAGTTGATCCTTCATGTGGAAAATCTCATCTGGTACTGGTTCCCATCTTATTTTTTCATGAAAATGTGTGGTAAATTCTTATAATACGGAGGGGAAAATTACAATCCCTAATGCAGAGCTAATATTAAAAGCATATCCAACTTAAAATGCCTTCTTTTCATGTGCACTGCTGGAGCAACTAAGTTGGTTATATCATTTTCGTCAATCTATTACACTCCTACAGCTGGAGTATTTTAGTAAGAATAGCTATTGAAGCACTAGCAGAATGCTGGAAGAAGAGTTAAGCATTATTTAACTGGGCTAACAGTATGCAATGTCATTAACTTTGTAAGTGATACTAAGTGCTGCTAGTTATTTATTTGCTCTCGTCAGAATCAACATAACATAATAAGACAGTTCAATTTAATTCAAACTCCAGAATTCCAAATAATAAATTACTACAACTTGATCAATGCTGTGGCATCACTAAAAAAAAAAAACCCTAACAACAGATTAGTCCTTTTTTAATGCTAAAAGCAGTTTGGCTTTTTTTGGGGGGTGGAAGGTGTGTTTTAAAATAAATTGTTCTAATGGAAAAACACTGGTATTTCTAAATTGTAATCAGAAACACATAGTGTATGACTCCTTGACTATCTACCATCTGCAATAACAAAATCCCACTGCATGACTGTTTTTCTACTTCCAAAACAGAAACTAGACATCACTCCAAAAATACGAACATTACACCAAACAAAAGCAAATAAAGAAAACACACAAAGACCATTTTCAAGTGTTGACATGTCACATTCTCACTATTTGAGACTGCGTAAAGTACAATACAAATACAGCTGATCTTAATTAAAATAGGTTTGGATAATTTTTGCTTTATATAAATGTTCTCTCTAAACCAACTGCACAAAACAAACACATGGACAGACTCAAAACTGTCTTTGGCTCTGAAGTTTAATCAGTTTTTTATGACTGGTGAAGTGGTAACAGAAAGGAAAATCTTAAAAACACAGATAAAATTTAAACACTAATTTAACACTGACATATTCTCTGTGCTTTTCTGGACCCCACAAGCAGAATTTCTTAAAATGTTTGAAAGTTATTTTAGAGGTTGATTCTAGTTGTCAAGCTGAGCTTTTTTCCTCCCATAAAACACAAATATAGTTAAGATCTTTCATTATATGAAATTATTTATTTCAGAGGACCTGAACAGAAGGAATTACATTCTATTATATTCCAGGATAGTGGATCTTTTCCTCAAACTACTCCTCACCCCAGAAATTTTCCAAGACAGTAACTGTCCATTAGAAAATGCCAAGCTGGCAGAATGTTAACTTTTTATGAGAAGGAATCAATTTAAACAACCTTCAGAAGCAAATCAAGACTGTTTCCTTGCCAGGTCACTGGCTTCCTTGGCATTAAACCTACAGAAGTACAAGAAAGCCCCTTTGGCTCCCCAGCACAGAACTGGGTGTAGCAGTAGGGAAACACAGCTTCCAGCAAGCAGGTCCTTTCAGAGGGGAAGCCAGAAGTGACAGCTGCTTGTGTCAGCCAAGTGCCCAAAAGACCCAGGTAAGAGGGCAAAGTCAGACACACTACTGTCCTGCTGAGCAACTGCTGGCACACCTATGCCTCAAAGCATGAAAGGGAGGTTCCTGTATTTTGTCTAGCAAGCTTTGGAAAAGCACTGACTGATTCACAGATGCCTGGATTCACTTGGACACTTATACTATCCAATAGGTGTGGTTACTTTACCCCACAGCCTGAGCTGCATGCATGCATATTTCTCACAAAATATATGAGCTTGTTTCAGCCAAGAACTGCAATGTGGAAGCAAATTTACTGTACTTACTACTTCTGGCAGCCCAAGGGGCACTACTACTGTTCCACATGGCACAGAAAATATAGGCACTACTCTGTGCTTTCAGTGCTGCTCTACCACTTCATAATCTAAGGAGCAGGATTATGCTCCTGTCATAATGTTTCCTGACTGAAAGTCAGGGACCAGATAGGGATTGGTAAACTAGAGGTGAGAGCAGATGCCTCTGTGATCCTTAGCGCACCGTAGTCCATCGTCAAAGGGATACAGGAGACAAGTCCAGTTTGTATACTACTCTACTAACAGCAGCAGGTGTGAAAGCTGCTTCCAGAAGGATGCTTTACACTCCTAACTGCTTGGTACATGTTTGACTTGGTGTGTTTTACTTGGTAAATTGCTTTCCTCTTTTAATCTAACAATTGAAGGTACAATAAGTAGCTGAAGGAACTGGGGTTTTTTAGCATGGAGAAAAAGAGGCTGAAGGGGGACCTTATTTGCTCTCTACAACTACCTGAAAGGAGGTTGTGGCAAGGTGGGTTGTGGTCTCTTCTCCCAAGTAACAAGCAATAGGACAAGATGAAATGGCCTCAAGTTGCACCAGGGAGGTTTAGATTGGATATTTGGAAAAATTTGCCCTGAAAGGTTTGCCAAGCCTTGGAACAGACAGTGGCTGAGTCACTATCCCTGCAGGTATTTAGAAGACATGTAGATGTTGTGCATTTAATGGTAACTGGGTAGTTTTGGGTTTACAGTTGGACTCGGTCTTTTCCAACCTAAATGATTCTGTGATTCCATGATAGTAAGAGTTTACAAATAGTCCCAACAATATACACAACATAATTCGGGATAAATTAGCAAAAGGAGTGCTTATCTAATTGCTTTCCCCAAAAATAAGTATGCCAAGACAGTTTTAAGGATTAAGTATAAGAACAGCATTTTAACAGGCATTTTTAACAGCCACTGTTGAAAGGAAGGTAACACTTACTGGCAGAATGTCGTACTAATGGATTTAATCATATTCTAAAATACTACCTTTTTATATTGTATTTTCTCCACCATTTTAGCAGGGCTTCACACAGAAGTAATGGTCGCAGTTTAGCAACCTATCAATTTTCAGTTTTAAAAGTTTCCTATATACTACTAGCATATTCTCAATATGTGGAAAATAATGGTTTAAGCATGTCTTTTCCAACAAGACATCTCTCCTATGAAGTATTTATTCAACATGAAGAAATTGTTTGATAAGCTTAGCACATTTCATAGCAAGAATTCATATCAGGCATACAGTAGCATCTCCGTATCAGAATTTTTTGTTACCTCTGTCAGTTCCAGAAGACCCTGGCTAACAATTGCTGGCTCAACTGCCAGCCTTGTGGTCACAGGTTTCCAAACAGGGACAGATGATGGATGAAGACATACCACTAACATTCAAGTGTTAGATGACTGATGATACCAAAGATGAAGCAGCAGTTAATTCAGAGGGAAGCAAGACAGACACATGGTGTGACAAACAGAGTTGATGGTGACCTGCCAAGAGGAGTTAGTAAGCTGAATTTACTGCATCCATGTAATTAATAAGAAACCACCAGAATACCCCAAAAGTCTAACAATGAGTATATTTAGAGCTTCCTCCCCACTATGAATTGTTAGCAGCTTTAATAGTTTAACTACAACGCAAATTATGCATCATTATGCACTGTTAACAAACCAAAGCTAAGCTTTTACACAGCAGTATGTAAGATTAATGTATAAAACACAGCTGGTTTATTCTCTCATAATAATGTTTATGTATTGTATGACTTCGCAAAATGAAGGAGCTCTTAAGCTCAATAATTTCTAAACAATAAAAACTGTATTTATCATTGACATGGAGAATCATCAGAAAACATGTAAACTACTCCAGAAAGGAAAAACTTAGCTCAGACTTCGAGCATTCTGTCACAGGACATCAGTACCAGTTAAGATATAGTCTTTTTCGTATGGGATCATTTTACTTCTTGGTGCTGTTTAGAGTGGATATAATTTACTTAGTTTTGAATGACCTATATTTTAAAGTTATTCAATATAGTTCCAAAGCACTACCTATACCAAGTTTTACAAAAACAGTTTAGAAAACACTTCACAGTTGGTTTAGAATTGTTGTTACAATTAAGGTCAGTTTTAAACAGTCCAGAAAAAAACCAAACCAAGCCAAATCAACAACAGCAGCAAAGTGTACTTTTAAATACTGTCTATTTAACACAGTCACCTTTTGTTGTTTGTAGAACTGTTTGCTATGTAGATGTCATCATTCTTGTAGGAAAAGGGGCTTGAGACCTCTGTGATGCATTAACATTTCAGTAATTACATTAATGTCCTATTTCTAACTTTATCTCCCTTTCTCCTCTTTCCCCTCATAAAAATCTACAAGCTATTTGGTTTTGCTTGAGTCTTATGGAATGGCAGAGAGGAGGAATAGGATAAGAGCTAAACCAGCTTATTACAGTTAATAGTATTAGACAAGCATATTAATTCATGCTAGAACATAAAAATTAAAACATACTGCTGGTTGCGCATTTGTTTTACTTACCAGATTTGTAATCTAATTTTCTTTCCTCTTAGCTCTACTGTTTTGATTTTAAAATCAACACCTATAAACAAAATACAGTAAACAGAAAAGGAGGAATAAGAAGCAAAAGTAATGAGGGTGTATTTTCTTTTTTTTTTAAATAATTGTAATATCAACTTATAACAGTAAGGGTTTGCACCACTATGGGTCACCTTAGGAACATCACGGGGATTTGACAACCACTACGTAGCCTGTGAGCCATCCAATTTTTGGCAGCATCACGCCATAAACCTTCCACTTTATGCAACACTTCCAGCAGCAGGTAAATCCAACGGAATAGTAAAACAACAGGCAGGGTATGTTTGTTTCTCCCCTATTCACCTTGACCATCAAGGACAAGCTTGCTCTCCCTCCAACTGGCACAGATGCCCTGGAGGCGTGGAGTGAACCAATGCCTCCATATCCGTTTTGCTCTCTGTTAAGGGGGAACAATACACATCTGGTTTCCAAGCTGGGTGCTTAGCTTCTGTAAAGCACTTTAGTAGAAGTGCTGGAATAGTGGCTGGTTTATGAAGTTTGTCAGCACTGACATTCTTAATTCCTGCAAATATTTATTAGCAAACTGCTTAGATTTAGAGAGGGTATTTGACTTTTATAATGTCTTTTATACCTGTATGGTACTTTTATCCATCATCTCAAAACTCCAGCTGTATTTTGAATGCGTGCTAAATATAAGATAAAACCATGAAGACCCTGTTACACAGAAAGATTTTTCTTCTATGAAAAAACAAATCCCTATGCTGGCAATCAACACGTAAGACGTACTATGGTCAAACAATACCCAGACACAAAAGATTAGCACCTCAACTACAAGAATATTTCAGGGTATAAATGTTCTACAATATCATAGCATTTGCAGATTGTGAATATGTTGATTTTAGTATATATGTGTATGAAGATTTTTGCTTCAGTTATTTCTGAACATCACCCCTCCTAACAGTGCTAAATCAAATAGGAAGAAATAAAAAGACAAGAGAACATGGTTCAGACTGGTACAATTAAAACTCACACAAAAGTGCAGAAGCATAGTGTGAATACTTTCACTACTTCATATACAACTGTATAGCAAAGATAGGGATGAAAGTGAAGAGGAAAGAGAATTTTATATTCTCAAACTACACATTTTCCTAACGTCTACCCTTGGTAAAAACTGAGTGTCCCTGCTGATGCTGTTAGAATCAAGACTGGATTGTAACTTTGACAGAAAGGACTGAACTTGGCCCTTATGCAAAGCTTTTAAAAACTCCTAAAAATTTAGGTATGGGGAAATAAAGTGCATTTTACATCCTGAAAACCAGCTACACGCTATTGACTTGGCATAAATTTCAAAATGTTTTAAAGACAGCTATGTCTGTAAAGTTGTTGATATGAGACACTAAAATGGACTAAGTTTTAATAAACTACATACAATTTACTAGTTGAAATATAAAGGATACAGTCAATTCTATTTTTATCTTGCAAAACAGGTTGCCACTGTTCAGCTAGACTAAACAAATGGAAGGATCACTGACCTTCATTCTCCTTAACAAAAATCCCTTTAAACAGATTGTGTTTGCACATCACATTGTGATAAAAGTATTAGTTATCACTATAACATTTGTCCTCCTTCTCCATGTTCTTAAAAGTGTCTAGCCACTTATTCACCAATTCTAGAACTATTCAGGATGTATGATTCTTATACTTCATTTACTAAAATGTATCCCATTCAAACCCCAGCATAGTTCTTAGGCAGTACAGCAGCTAGAGTTAAATTGATTTGTACTACAGTCTACAATTTTGAAGGCATTTCTCAAGTATTCACATGCAAATTGAAAAAAAATAGAATAGAATGATTAACATTTCAGAGCATTTATTAATCCTAACATTAAGAAATATTTTCTACTCTTTTGAAAAGCCACCATCTGTGTTAGTGTAACAGCAGAAAGAAGTGAAATGGTCCAGCTATGCTCTACTATACAAAATAAGGGAAATAAGAAAAGCAGTAATTACAAGAATTCTATTAATGATTTTTTTTTTTAAAGAGACACACAACCATTTCTACTGTTATAATCCTTCTCTACATAAATGCATTTAGACTATGAAATACAATTGTCTTAATTGTCATAGCTTTATCTACAACAAAGACAGGAGCTTTACTTGCTAAGGATATAGCAGGTGTTAAGTGAAATTGCTTCAAATCTCTCCTTTCTTAAGGAGGTTTGAATTAATTGCCCACGTCTCAACCCCAATTCCCAATCCTGCCATTAACTCATACACAACACAGCATACAATTTGCTCAGGTTAAAACAAAAAATAATCTTTCTCTTCTCTCCCACAGAAACATAAGAAGAAAGAAGGTGGGTATACTTGTCTTAGGCTAACAATTATACTGGTAGAGGAGCTTTATCTGAGCAGAGAGAGAATATAGCTCTGCTGTGTAAAGAAAAAGCCCCATTGTCAGAGAACAAAAGGAGTCTAAAACCATTTCTGATCCAAAATTGTGTAATAAAAACCATCACAGGTATTTCATGCAAGTTTCACCAACTCCACCAAAAAATATTTTTATTCCTATAGGAAGTGGTTTATACACTGCTGTTTTACACAAACCACAGAACAAAAAAGTTTTGTTGTATTTTTTAAAAGGAAAAATAAATAATGAACTATAGGGAGAAAAACCACCTGTTGTAATAAATTTTCAACTTGGGACTTCCTGGGACTAGCAGGCACAATGTCTGAATGAAGGAGAAAAAACACCTACATATTAAAGAGACGGTTTAAAAATATGTTAACAGCATGCTTAATTCAAAGGCAGATCTTTCTATCTTAAAGTCAGACCATGAAACATTTCCCCTCTGTTAAATTTTGCTACGAACAGTGCAAACCAGTAACAGTTTTGGAAATGCAGATTCTTCTACAGAACTGTGAATCATTTAACACTTAAGTCAGATAGCTTGCCAGAACTAAACAAAGGTTGCTTGACTGCTTTTTATAATCAGTAATGCTTTGCAAGCATCAGCACAATACCAAAAGCTTCATGTATGCCAATACTGAAAGAAAAAAATCTGGCAACTTTTCTTTTGCACATGAAGAAACAAATTCCTAAGCCTGTCAGGTTTCATTACCGTGTTTCACCATAGACCTGCCAAAGGTAGTGTTTTGAGTTTACATACAAATTAGTAATTTAATTAAAACAGCAACACAGTAACTTGTTTTCCACTTCAATTTCGAGTATCATCTTGAGTTAAGAAAAAGTTCAATGAAACACATTATTTAGGTTGATTAACATCAATGAAAATACCTCAATGAAAAGTTTCGCTATCCATAAAATTACTCCAGCTATTAAAAACAAGATGAAAAACTATTAATGTTCTCTGAAAGTCAGTGAGAAAACTAACGCTTTCCATTATTAGAGATAACAAATACTTACTAGTCACACATGACATTCAGAGTTACACAACTGCACCTTTTCATTGTTTGTACTTGCAGTTGTAGAACAGAAGATTTGGACTAACTGCTGAAAACTCCCATTCTTCAGCAAAATAATGGCAAACAACTCTTTATCTCTGGCACAAGATAGAGAAGGTATTAAGTCTGCTCTTAGAAAATGGTGTTTGGGATTTTTTTAATCAATTCAGTGTTGATGTCAGCAATACTTGATAAATTCTTTAAAATCCTTGCTTCAACAAACTCTTAATTTACAGTTGCTCTAAGTGAGATACATATTTCTCAGTCTTGTTAAACCTAATTCTAAGACCTGTTAAGTGGAGGCAAATTGTCAAAATTCTTTCAAGTTTCATGCTGTTTGTAATGATAGATGTAGTTGTAGTCCTTACACAGTTACTACTCCCATAAGCCACATCCCAAAACACAACTAATACCAAAGTTTAATAAAATTGTGCATTTGTTGTGTGTTCAGTCCCACCAGAGGCTACTTGAAGCTAAACAGCTGCATGAACAGTGGTGTCCTAAGACATGTGCACTGACAGATAGAACTGCCATAACACTCTACTAGCACAGCTACACCAACAAGTTCCCCACCGTGTGCCTCCAGTTACAGTGGGTATTGCCTGAAAGGATGTCAACACCAGCTAACACAAGCCACTTAAGCATTTTGTGTCCTTAATTATGCAAATAGAACTGAGGGCATGGGTTTATATACAGTTCAACAAAACAGAGGAATCAATAATTACTGTTGACAACTACATTAAATCTGAACAGCATGTCTTTTAAAAAGCAGGAATTTTAGAAGGCTCTCTTCAGCTGCTACACCACCAAACTATTGCTGGTTTGCATGCTACCTAGTTTGCATTTTAAATGCCTGCTGGTTAATTTATTATTAATGAATAACCAACTGTACTCATGTCAGTGGAGCCAACAAGTGCATGTGCTTATGACCACACTGAAGTGTGCCCTTTGTCAGGTCACAGTGATGTGAGGGGAACCCAAAAGGCTTATCATAATCTCCCCTCCAATTACAAATTCAGCCTCCCGTCCAAACATCAGGCCTGCATGGACCACAGGCAATCAATGTATTCAGTTTTCCTAAAATCATTACACTTGCACCATTAGTAAATCCAGATGACCACCTCTCTTTTTTATGATTTAAAGGTGTGCATTCTGAATGTCAGAATTTGACCCCCGTTTTTCTCTGGAAAGGTTGGGTTTTTTTTTTCAATAATCCAAATAGACATCCCATACACATACAAGAACTAATGAAAAAGGCACAAAACTACAGATCTCAGGCTCTAGTTTGAGTTTCTGATTTTTTATCTGTTAAGCATTTCAAAATATACTTGCCCTACCACTTCGAACTGCAAATGACCTACTGCCCTTTCCCCGCAGGACAGATACACATCAAATAAGGCATTGAGTACAGCAGCACTTACGTGGTGTGTGTAAGGTAAGATTATTAGGCAAGGATTTTCAAAGTTTTATACAAAGCACATTGTTTTTGTTAATAGCACCTGAACTTTAGATTAAAAATGCTTCATGTAAATGAGAACACCTATTATGATGTGCACTCAACTGAAACTATGGTTTT